TGGACCGGTGCGGTAACGCAGGTATCCGGGCCCTTCCCCGTCACGCTGGTCGCACCTTTTTTTCCTGGAAGATGGGGCCGTGTTTATTTTCTTTAAAGCTTTCCTTCCTCATTTTAAATGGCCCTTGTTTAAAGGTGGGGTTGGGAGATGCCTCTGTGAACGTGCGTGAGTGTGAAGCTGATCCTTGTCTGTCCCCATATATGTTTAAAAGCAGTTGGACGGAGGGGTTGGGAGCCTCAAGGGCGTGCAGACACACTGAGGGTAGTGTGAGCGCAGCTGTCTTCAGGTGTTACTCCTCTTGAAACACTGTCTATAAATATCTCTTTAAAGAACTGTATGTGCCTCAAATTAGTTAAAACTTGTCCTTACATGGAGAAATAAAAACAGATGAAGGTGTACGAGATCCTTGCCAAACTGGGAGGGGACAGGCAGCGGGCGTTCAAATATTGTATGAGAAATCGGAAAAAATCTGTTAACAAAACCATGATGAGAGCTGTAAAGTTTCTACAGGTTAGCAGCTTTAAATGTGTAAAACAAGGGGGAAATGGCTTGAAAACTAGACCTGCATCATTGCCAGGGTACGTGGTGACTTGCAGGCCGCTTACAGCGTGAAAACAAATTGTTTCTGAAAGACTTTGATGCCAAATTAAAATTAGCATCTAAAGTAAATTTAAAATTTGGAGGCAAAGTTTGGAAATGATGTTGACCAAAGCAATCCCTGTTTAAACTAAGCGGTGGAAGAATACGTGGGAGTTCTGCTGAGCTGTGCGTTATCCTGACCGGGAGTGGCGTTGCTGTGAGTACTTCTGCACCAGAGCTCTTGCCTGTCCTTGGCACAGGAGGGGGAAAGCAGAACGGGTGGAAAGGCTTTCCCTCCTGCTTCTGCAATGCAAAGGTCAGCCTTGCAGCTCACGTTGTGTCCTGCCCCGGCTTCCCCAGGTGGCCTTTTCTGTCAGCTGTGGATTACATCACTTTGCTTTGGCTCTCTTCCCAGGAGCCTCAGTGCACATTGGCCGCAAAAGGGGCGGTGTATTTATTATACCAGTTCTGTGCAGTCCCTAAACAGAGGAGGGATTATCTACAAATATTTCCTCACAAAGATATTTCGGCATTGTTACGGTGCAGTGGGGAGATCTCCCCTAAAAGCTCAGTGGTAATATTTGAGTTTAGACCTATGTCCATGAAAGGTCTGCAAGAATTTTAGTCTGGACGTAGGTTGTGTTGGATTTTCTCCTAGCCAGAGATTCCAGCTCTAAGACGAGCTTACTCTGATTTAATTGAACTTCTGCAAAGTATTGGAACAATAACGTAGTCAAATTACAAGGTTATAAATTTGTATTCTTACTTTTATGCTGTATATTCAGCCCACTCCCACTCTTTGCAGCAACCGCATGTTTTAAAAATTTAGTTCTCATCAATTTTTAATTAGGCATAATGGCACATTTTGCCATATGGGTCCCTCAACTTCTCTCGAAGTTAATGTATGCGGAGGAGGCCTTACCTCTAAATGCAGACTGATGTCTGTGGTCTCGGCAGAAAAGAAAATTATGGTAATTAAAAGGACAGATACTTTTGTACTGAGTTAAAACTAGCTTTGGTTTTCACCTAAAGCTGCTTCAAAATATCAACAGATAGTAATGTAAAAATTAAATGGTAAATGGACCTCAATGTGAAATGGTACGTGTTTTTAATGTGATTATTTTAATATGTGAGTTCTTATCTATGATTTATTAGTATAAGTAAAACGCATTCAAGAGGATATTTTTTAAGCTAGTGAGCAGAGCTGCTCGTTTCTTTGCTGTATTCCTGGCTTAGCAGTAGTAGTTCAGAGCCTGGAGACGCGCTGTGAAAAATAACTTGGTAACCCATATGTTTGAATATTGGAGGAAGGCTGACGGAGCGGAAACAGAGACTTTTAGCGTATTTTCAAAGTAATGTCAATCTTTAATTAAGCAAATTATAGTTCTTGTTATCAACCTTTTAAAGAGGAAGTCTGTATGAATTGAAATAGAAAGCCGTGGTAGAAAGTGTTTTTCTTCTTTTACAACAGCGATTTCATCATAATATTGTCGACCTGATTCATGTATTTAGGCAGAAGAAAAAGACTTCGAGTGTGTGAATTTATCGATCGTACAATCCTAGATGAGCTCCAGCATTATTTCCATGGATTGGATAACAAAAGGCTTAAAAATACCTTTTCCAGTTACTACAAGCAATTGAGTACCTTCACGACAATGATGTAAGAACTCACCTGCAAGATTGAACATAAATAAAATGTTAGCGCTTTCAGATCACACCTCTTATTTTTTGTAGTGTTTTGTCATACAGATATCGAAAGTGCTAATTCGTTATTGAGAAAAAGGTTTTGTTTCATAGTAATAGTTTACGGCTTCCAGTTGGCTTGAAATGATCTGCAGAATTGAAACGAGACATCGGACTAGGTGATCGGAGGAGTACTTGGATAGTAGCAGCACTACTGCAGAGTATTTGGACCCATCTCTGAAATTCTGAAAAGCTAAAAATATTCAGGACTTTACCCAGCCCATTGCGTCACTGCTGTAGCAGCTGTCTTCCCTGCTGTTGCAGTACCTTGCTTATCCTTCCCTGCTCCCACCTTGTCCTTCTCCTCCGTGCTTGTCTCATCCCTCTTAATCGCTTTTGGTTTGTCCTGCTGTTGATGGGGGGGGGGGGGGGGCTACCGTGCAGAAATCTGTTCCGTACTGTGCAGCAATCCTGCTCTCTTTCGCTCATCACCTACGTTAAGCAGTTGCTAATTGTAGTAGTACGGGGACATCGATGACTTTGGGAAATGAGGGCACTGTGTGCCTCACGGAGTCAATTCTGAAGTAGCAGGAGAGTTTTTTTCAGTCCATGCTTTCATGCCTCGAGAACTGCCTTTTTTTTAAGGCAAACAGAACCCATTTCTTATTAAACTGATTTAGGGTTCTTCTGTTGTTGTGGGTCAAAGATACCATTACGCTCTGGTTCCAGCTTCAGTGAGAGCAGTGCAAGGTTTATCTTTAAATACAGTACTGTTATTGTATAAACCAAACAGATTATTCGTATTTTTAAAAAATTCTCTAGGAGATGATAATCCATGTTTTTCCTAGCTAAGCTGTGCCTGTTTGCCCTGCAGATGATTTTCCATATTATCCGTATCAAAAATGTCCAGTAGTGTTGGCGCCAAGCCCCTGTGATGGTCAGTGACAAGGGTTGTCTGAGGAGCCCTAAGGAGCAGTGCAAGAGGAGGTGCGGTAAAACTGAGGAAAGAAAGATGTGGAACTTCGGAGATGTAGCACGCGTGGTTATCAACATGGTGTTAGGTTTTTTCCAAGTGTGTAATTAATTCCCACTAAAGATTTTATTCTGTATTTTATAAAATTCTGTTACTGTCCAACTACTATTATGAAATTCTGTGGAGGAGGTGTGGAGTTGCGGAGAGGAGTGGCAGTTCTGTCTGTATGCTCTCGTTCATGCTGTTAGATATTGATTACTATTATTCTTAGTAATAACAACAACAGTACACTGCAGTAGTTTTTCTGGCAGTGTTGAACTATATACATGGAGGTAAATAGCTTTTTAACAAGCCAGGATAATTCCTTTATTCTCAAACCTCAAATATAGTTTATAGTGCAGAATGAGTCAGCAGGAAGGATCTGCTTTTATGTAGACTTCTTCTCCGAGAGGAAGCACAGAGAGCAGTACAGCAGTGTTGCGGAGTTGGATTCATTTCAGTTTTGAAGATAGCAGGCTTTTTGACGAGAGATTTTTAATGTATTTTAGCCATCTCCATGGGGATACTAGAATAAGAACATAGTATACAATCTTTATATCTGTTTTAACCAGCTCATTTATTATCTGTTCATGATGTCCTTTTCGTCAAGCAGTTGGACACCTCTTCTTCAGAGCATTTTATAAAGAGCCCAGGATTTTCAAGGATGGTACTTCCTGAAGTCCAGCATCCTGAAAATGCAAGGAAAAGGTTTCCCCAGCTCAGTGCCTTACTGGAGATGCTGTTTCCTATGAGAAACCCCATTCAGTTACAGTCTGTCACCCTAACTCGTATGAGGAGTTCAGTGAGTTTAGTTGGGATGTCCACACATGAAGAATGTGGCACATCGGAAATTGCTAATTAGAGAAGTTGGGATTTTCAGAAATGCCAAGGAGATTCAGGAGCGTAAGTGCCAGTCCACAGTTTCATAAGTATTTAAGTTAATTTAAATTCACCGATGTTATAATTACTGTATTCACTGAGATGCAGTTGCAGACACTAATGGTTTTAAAAAAAAAAAAGTGTTCTGCTCAGACATTGAACCTTGTTTCCCCCGATGTCAGTGGGAACGGGAATGGATTTAGGGCTTGCCATTTCCATTAAGCAAAATCAAAAATCCAATAGGCAATTTCCTGTCATAAAAAGATCTGAGAGAGCAGATGGAGGAAGAATAATCTAATTGAGATGCATTTTCTTTTTTACTAGCTTGCTCCATTTCATTTTTAAGAGCATACCTAAAATGTCTGCTTCCGCAAAGAGAGCTTGTTCATTAAGCCTTAAAATAAATGGCAAGCAAAAAGCTCTTTTACAAATCCAGAATGCTAGTGGTGATACTAGACGTTTCTAATAACCTATTAACACCACGAAAACTCAAAACAAAAATTGATAAAGCACTCTGTTGAGTAAAGACCAGCGAAGCTTTCACCAGCAGCAGGCTTTTCTGACTCATTCTTTCTCTGGCAATAGAAAACGCAGTTGCTGCAGAGAAATGAAGGATCTCATTCATTCGTGGGGGACGGGGAAAAGGAAAGGCCAGGGGCCAAGCTTTCCTCCCACGGCTGAGTTACAGCGTTGGAGAGGGTTTACTCCTTCCCTCTCTGGTTCTGTTATGTCCTTCCAAATCTCTGGTAGTTGTTCCCATGTGTTTAAATTTCCCGAGTCATTGATTTTGTTGATGATGGGTTGACTTTGTGTTACAGATAGATTTTCAGAAAGTGTTAAGTTATGACAACTACGTTTAGTACGTAAAATGAAATGGAGCTTTGAAGTGTATGAGGGAAGAAAGGGAAAGCAGTTTATCCGTTAGGCTACTTTGATTCCTCAGAAGTCTTTGTAACCCTTCAAAATCCTTTGACAAACATTTCAACAGCTTCCAGGAGGATTTATTTTATTTTGTCTTAGTGTGTTTATTTGTGTTTCTTTTAGGTTTCTCCGTGTTTAAGAGGCATCACACGGAGACAGCGTAGGAGGGACATTATAAAGTGACCCACTTCGGAAGTGGCCACCATCATCCGGCTGTGGTAGCTGGAAGCGAAATGGAAATGGAGGGACAGAGAATGTTCTTTCAGAATTAGGACATGATATGGGAAGCCGACCTCTTCCTATGCATTTACAGGGGTATTAGCCTGTCCATTTCAGACATCTGATTTGTTTAGGTTAGAAGAGTCTGTTTTTCATCCAAACAGTCAATGGAGAGAAGCAGAGATTCTTGGAAAATGCTTCACATCACCCCAATCAGGCAATAATTAAACTCTTGAATCAGACGTTCTAAACTCCTTATGGAAGAATGTCTCTGATGGGATAGGGATCCTACCTTCCTCACCTGGGCCTTTTAATTTAAGAAGCTCCAGACAGGCAGTCTTAAAGTTGGGCAATACCCCTCAGGTATGCAGAAGAGGAACGTATGAATGTGGGTACAGTAAAATCATCTCTGGAAACCCTGCTGGCAGGGAGCCTGACTCCACCTGCGCTGGGCTGCAAAACCCTTGTATCTTCTGATGCGCTCAGAGAAGACGTTACGTGTTGGAGGAAGAATCTGTAGTCAGAGATGCTGCATTTTCCCGGCTGGCAAGAAGATCCAAGTTGATGAGCTTATGGTACCTTTCTCTTGTTTCCTATTCCATGCTCAAGAACTGCACGACTGTAAGAACTTCAGGCTCTGTTCGTGCATGTGAATCACATCCACAGAAGCGTAAAGGGTAGGGCAGCACATCTAAATGCAATTTGGAAATAAAGGTATAGGGACAGATCACCGGCTATAGAGAGAAAGGGGCAGCATGGGAGGTGAAAAAGCCTTGAGTCGATGAATAGTTGCCACAGCTACTCTGACAGTCCATTCACAACCCCTATCTAACAAATTAGAGGAGTATTTTGGGACAGTCCTCCGCCAGCAGAGTGCTCCTAAAGGGAATATTTTCTCCAGTATAATTTAGATAAAACTCTGGGGCCCTTACCTACCCTAGAACTGGGAGCTAAAATAATAACTCACCTTCCACCCACCCGCTGTACCAATTCAGAAAGATGAGCCAAGAACCGTGAACTAGGTTACACAGCAATAGAATGAGATCCAGACATCCTAGATGTTACTGAAGTAGGTGCAATGACACAAAAATTATGAGATAATTTAAGTAGAGAACAGACGCCAAATAACACTAGATGAAAAGATTCTTAATAACCTAATGATACAAATTTATGAATAATGAACAGATTGTCCTGGTTTCAGCTGGAATAGAGTTAATTTTCTTCCTGGTAGCTGGTGCAGTGCTGTGTTTTGGATTTAGCAGGAGAATAAATAAATAATAATTGAATAAATAAAATAATAAATATTTAATAATAAATTCATAACTATGTGCACACTGGTAAACGAGTCACTCCTGTAGATTGCAAACTGTCCTCGGTTTGTGTGTGTGCGCAGCAAAGTAGAGTTACTCAGAGGAGCCGGAATATGTCCCAAAAAGTCCCCAAAAGCCTGCATTTCCCTAAAGTTCTATAAGATCTCTCACAAAACGTTAATTACATATTCTCCTGCACAAACAAGGGTGGATTCAGAGACACTGGCCAAGTCTTCACTGTGCTGAGCCTGCTCCTCATGTGGCATAAATTTTGTCATGGAAAAGCACCGGATCTGGCCCTTTGCAGAGCGAGGAGAAATCACACACTGAACAGTGAAGAAAAAACAGTTTGCTGCCACCCAGACGGAGGCTGAGTAAAGCAAACTCCACTTTCAAAATAGCAGATAACATGCAATCACCTTTTAATGTATGAAGAAAGGCCAACGGGTTACGGTAGCTTAGAAAATGCAATTTCTAGTTTTTAACTTGAACGCTCGGCTTGGCCACAATGAGGTTTTTACAAGAACGTCCAGACAGCTCTTTGTATAACACTTTTAAAAAACGTTTAACATTTTCCTTATGACATACTGAGGGTACCATGGTGTGATACAGCATTAAGCAGTGTAAGTTTTAGAGTGATTTCTCTAAAAATTGCTATTCGCTTCTCCTGAACCTCCCCGCGTTGCGCTGAGCCCGCCAGCCACCAGGTGCGGCTGTGGAGCCTTTTGAAATCCACGGGATTTCTTTCATCAGTCCAGCGGCTGCAGAGAGATGTCATCCCTGTACCCACTTCTAACAAGGATATAATAACGCTACGTGTTTGCCTTCACCCTGGGAAATCCCAGGGCAACTGCAAACACGAGCGCCGTATGTACGGGGGTCTTTTATGCAGACGTAGTGTCGGTATTTTTTGCTGCAAAGGACTTGAAACTATTGGTTGTTGACAAGCTCCATTTTAAGATGTACAATGGGCATTATCCTTGGAACCACTCATGAGGTATTTGGCTCTCAGAGTTGTTAAATAACAGATTTAGTTTAGATGCTGGCATGTAATATTAAGAGAAAATATTCTTTAAAATAACTTAAAAGATCATTTCACTTTTTGCTATCAGATTCTTACCAGAGCTGAAAGCCAAGTTCTTACAAGAAACAAAATTAAATTCTTTTTCAAAGCACAGAGGGAATAACAAAGATGTAGCACTACCAAAAGATGAGAATTGCTGGTTTTAATGCCTGTCAGAACGGTCCAGGATTTGGGAAGGTGAGAACTGCTTTTTTTAAAATATTTACTGCTACATAAAATTGTTATTGTAATTACAACACACTGGTGCTGGATTAGCTGTGTGTCTTCATGGGGCTGAACCTAATCGGTATCGTTGCAGTGGAAAACTGGATGTTGATTTCGAGGTGGGAGTATTGCCAATATTAAATAGAACAAAGTTAGCAGATTTTTAATCTGCCGTCTTGTTTTTTGGTATTTTAGATGGGACCTCAATTTGGTGGTTCATTTGCATTTGACAAAACAATCAAGCACATAGGCACTACAAGTGCATTGGGTTCAAGCACACGCTTACCTGCTTTTATAGCTGGACGACTGGACTGTAGGTTTAACCACACTGCTGAACCAGAGACTACACACCTCCAGCTAGAGCAAGTGCAGGGGGGAAAAACGCACGCAGGATCCAACCTCAAAGACTTCTCATGTTGATACTTTCCTACTTTTGCTGTCTAACGGTGTTTGTATTTTACAGGTGGTTTTAAACACCAGCATCAAAAACTTCTTCACTTGTTAGACGATCTTCCAGCTAGGGAACACGGGACATCCTTTGGGGGTCTGTGCATTATTACGGAATATTTCTCTTGCAGATGATCATCTGCTGTTTTATTCTAGGCATGTTAAGAAAACGCTGGACTGAGTGTTCCAGCTGATGTTTTGTCATAGTTTCCAAAAATAAAAGAAAGTAAATGAAGATTGTACGAAAACGCTCGTAATTGTGGAGTCAGCAATTGCTGAGCTGACTTACACTTGGAATAACAGTCAGCAAAAAAACCAACAAAACTTGGCTCATAGAAGTGCCCTGAACTGGAACAGCCAACAGGATTATTTTTAGTTCAGGTTTTAACGTTTTATCATTTAAAGGGAAAACAGTTGCCAGATGAAAAACATTACGTACAGTTTGAACAAAAGGCATTTCCTTATGTGCTAAACTTTAAACAACGGATTTTTACAGGGCATGGTTTCTCAACTACCTCTGTTTCTTAAGTTATCCAGCCCCAGCATCATTAACAAAAATAAAGCGAATGTGAAAGAGTGAGAAGGGACATTTTAGCCGAAAGCTACTTTCGGTGTACTTTTACAGTGATGTGAGGAGGTACTAGAGTTAGTGGTCCACCATTGCCCAGGAAACCCCTTTACTCCTAAAGAGCGATTGTAGGCTGTAGCTTGGCGAGCAGGATGACAGGCGTGAAGGATTTTAAAATTTTTATTTAATATTTTTTATTATTAAATATCTAGTATTTAAATATTCACTGTGAAATTACCTAGTTAGGCTTCATAGAGTCTAATTTTGTATCTGTTTGTTCTGTATAATTAGAAGCCATATTTAGCTTTGGCTACAGCCTTTTATCCCAACAACTAAACGTGTTTCATCTACAAGTGTTCTGAAACTTTATTTCAAATTTGTTTCAAGAGGAATATTTGGTACAGCTTGATTAATGTTTCTTTTGGCAGCAGCGCAGCCTTAGGCAGCCCAGAGTCATGTTGTTTGTTTCCAGTCCCACATCTTTCCCTAAGCTGTGCTGGCGTAATTGCATGTGGGGTTGTGCAGTGAACCCGCTCAAGGACTTGATCTTGACTAAAATAACCTGTACCAAAGATGGTTATTTTGAACTTGGATCCCTTTCCTGCACGACGGCCTCACGAAGATGTGGTGGCACCAGTGAGACAGTCGCCTGGGAGGGAAGAGCGAGAGGGGCACAGGGAAAAGAGGGGCTGCTTCACCCAGGACATGAAACTGCAGCCCCGGCTTTACAAACTGAAACCCCCTACAATGACTTTGGCCCGTTCAGAATCTAAAGAAAAAAGGGGAAAAAAAAAAAAGGTAATTGCATAGCTATGATACTGTAGTCGTGTTTTAATTATGTTTCTCCAGTATCCATGTCTAAATTAACTGAATGTACTAGGAATTAATGACATGCTACAGGGATTAGTATACATAGATAACATATGAGGAATCTGCATAGTAATGTAAGATTAGGGAAAACATGCAAACAAGCATTTCTGGGAGGAAAATCTACTTAGAGAACGTAAATTACAAACAAAAAAACCTAACAGAAAATTAATAGGTATTTTATAGTCGTCTTGCTGTTTTCTGTTACCAGCCCTGATTGATGACGGGTCTGCAGCAAGATGAACAGTTACGCATTAACAGCCGAGTAACTACAGCGGGATTCAAGGGGCCAGGCAGTATCCTTGATTGTTGGTATTCACTGGGTGTGAACTGCGGATAAATTACCTGCAGAGGTGGTAAAAGAAGCTGGAACTAGAAAAATACCTAGTGGAGGTGAGCTAAACTGCTGTTCCACATGTTTAACTGAAACTGGTAGGATTTTGGGTTATATGGAAACTGTGTTATTGGGCCTGTATAGAAAGCGTTATTGGGGCTCTCTTGTCGACCCTGTATTTTCTGGGAAAAGCAATTTCTGCCCGATCATTACCTGGTATTGCGAGGTGTCTGTAAAGTATTTGAAGAATCTTGCTGAGCAGCAAAGCTAATACAATAAGGAAACTGGAAGAGTTCATGAGCCGTGAAGTCTAGAAGCCTTTGTTTACCATAGGAACGAGGAAGCAAATTCCAATTCTTATTGCGATAACTTTTTGTATTTATTGTCACATATTTAATTTTTTTTTTTCCTTAGCTTTCCTCTGTTGCATTTTCCAGGTGTGGTCACTGACATTGCTAGGAAAAATAAAAAGTACAGACACCCCAAGCGAGATAGTAGGATGTGGCAGAAAGCTATGAAAAGCCTGGAATGTTAAAAAAATAAACTGTTAAAAAATAAAGAGCCCTACTGTTATGTTTAAGTTTAAAATAAATAGTTCTTTTATTTCGTGGCTTTATAGCATGGTAGCTATTTAAATTCAGCAATTGCAATATAAAATCTTGGAATATGAACAGAGTTTTGGATAACATTTCATGGCAACAAAAAGTCACACCACCAAATTTAGGACAATTTGGACACATCTTAATTTCTTCCTATTTAGTCTTGCACTGTTTGTTCAACTTCAGCATCAGGATAGCGCACCCCTTCCGATTTTGCTCTCTGCCCTGCGATTTGCTGCCAGCCCGTTTATGCAGGAGCAATGCCACGATTAATAAAGCGTTGACTGACAGGTACTAACAGCTGCTTTTATGGGTTATCACGTGTGGGTGTGAAAAAGCCGCACTGGCCCTCTGAAGAAAGCAGATTTACTGTAGATAAACCTTTAATGACGTCACCCAGGTGTAACCAACGCTTCAGAATGCTCCATAAATTTGTGTTTGTAAAGTGTACATCCTACACATGGCTCGTCCTTACCAACACTAGGCTAGTACAGCTCCGTGCCCTGCGCTCAAATACTGGGACAATTAGAAGAGATTACATCAAGATTTAGATGCTAGGCTATTTTTAAAATCTCTCCTAATGCGTTTTCCCATATAATCCTATCTAAAAAATCATTTTGAGGGCTCAGGGTAAGTAGGGAACTGTGGGCTTAAAGTCACCAAATCCAGAAAAAGCTTACATGGGCTAAGGGTTAGAGTTAGAGCTCAGAAAAGCAGATTTCATTCACTGCATCCCAACTCGGGAGATGGAAGAGCATACCTTGAAGATCCCAGAAAGAAAAACAGTATCTATGAGGCTCAAAAAAAAAAAAAAGGTGTTAAAAGGAGGCAGAGCTAGGAAATCCTCCAAGAATAAGTAACAAAATATTTTCCATTTAAAGTGGCCAACTGGACCTGACACTAGCCTAGAAGACGTCTGGATTGTGTTCCTTCCTTGCTGTGCTGAGATGGTTTGGGGTAAATAATCTCACTGCTGAACGCATCAGATTCCTCTTCTGTGAAGTGGTATTGACTTTGCAAAGTCCACTGAGAGCTACTGATGGAAAATGCTATTCTAGAGTTGGTATTAAAATACGATGCTTTCCCCATAAAGGACTGGTATTTGAATTCTTTTAGAAATGTGCTCCATTTGTTCAGATACAAACAATTACCAGGTTTTAGAGGGGTGGTCAGAAAAGACCAGATGATCAACTAATCTCTGCTGTTAAATGCTTTGCCCCTGGGAAATGAGTAATTATTTGCCTATATGCTGTGTGCCTCCCGCCACTCTGCCAAGTTAGCAAATACAACACCATTGAAAGAGGGAATCATAACGCAAGCAGGAACCTCCTTGCAGGAACAAAACTGGGGGGAAAAAAAAAAAAGGTACTTCTCTGAGTAATACGGAAATAACTACTCAATTCAGAAATATCTGTTGCACTCACTGATGCAGCTGAAGGCACGTCCGGATCGCAGCACCACCAGCCATGGGCTATGCAAGAGGATCTAGCAGAGTTAGACCAACCAGGCAGCTCAAACAGTTCTGCTCTTTGCTGTCAGTTTCTATATGTTTGTTTTTAATGATTTTCTGCGGAGGAATTAATATTGAAATTGTTAAGTATTTTATTGCATATATGGATAAATGTTTAAGAAACACGCCACAGTTGTTCAACTGCAGCAGTGTATTTTCCAAGTGAAAAGATTGATTTTCAGAGACTGTTCGACAAAGAGTACCTTACATCAAGCGTTATTTTGAAGTGTTGCGAACAGATCTCCTTTCTTGTTGGTTGTGGGGTGTTACTGATAGTAAAAGCTGTACTTAACCCTCTGCTCAAGGGCATTCTTTAGATTCAATGGAGAAAAAGTTGCACCATCTGTTGAAACAAAATAGCTATTTTCCTAGTGTAAGTATTTTGGACTCATTGGTTAATTCTTTCCTTTCTGTTGCATAGAAAGCTTACGCAGACCGTGATGAGACAAAATTACATCAGCTATACAAACATCCTCTCAAAATTCAGAACTCGAATATTCCCTTGAGTCACTTGAATACAGCTGCTAATTATCTCATAGAATGCGTTTTGCTGCAGTTTGAAGATGATGCAGTTTGACGATATGATGCCAAAGGAGAAACTGTTCAGTAATACCGTAGGCTTTACTTCAACTGTGTGAATGTTTCCCCAAACCAGAAGCCCCTACCTTTTTATGGGGAGGAAGGGTAAGCTAATAGTTAAAGTAGAGAAGTGAGAAACAGCCAGCGCAGGAGACATTCCTCCACTGAGAGCTTATAGAGGAAGCATAGTGAAAGTTTTCCTTCCCTGACAAAGGGAAACGGGGAAAAAGGGAGTGATACGTCTCGTCTCATGCAGCAGTAGGCGAAGACTTAAGCACCACGTATCGGGTTCCCTGGCAAAACCCGTTGCCATTAAAGCAATGTTCTGCTTTGTTCTGAGAGAGGTGGGATGTGTTATATTCTGAAACTATTAACCATCTTATTTTTCATTTCCATACACTGGGTAGAGAAGCTTCAGTATGTCTGAAATGACGTTTCAGTAGCTGAATGCTGAAAACTGGAAAAACTGCGATCTCAGTGAGAGAGAAATATGTGCAGCTAATAAACATATTATTCTTTCATTAAGTCCTAGAAGCAAATGCAGCATTACTGAAGACGGAAACAATTTTGTTGATATCACTGGAGTTGAACACACTTAAGCCAGACTGAAACATAAATGTCCACATAATCCTCTGTGACCTCTCAATTATTCCCACGCAGCATAACAGTGATTTCACAGATTACACTGAAGGGAAGTGTAATTTAAACTTTCTACGGTATGTGTGCTCATCCCTTTAACTTATTCAGTAGTCACTGAGGCAAGTTAATCTGTAGTGTATTTCAGCTGGAGTAGGCGTTGCAACAGAGACACTTGGGCCCATTGTGCGTCTTTGTGTTCTTTCTAGTACTATTTTCCATAATGATTTCATCCCTATCCTAGTGTCTGATTATTAGAGGAATCGCCTTTGTATGCGGAAGACAATGTATTGATTGCTAGCCATGGTGGAGCTGCGTGGGAGACGAGTATTATGTACCTACAGCTGGAGCTTGCTGGAGTAAAAGAATCACTAGTGCAAAACATTTGCTGTAACTTTCCATGGATAAAAAACATTTCAGTAACGAAATACAGGATTCCCAAAATGTAGCTGAGACAAGTTTCACTCAAATATTTACAGTTAAGTATAAATATTTTCTGAGATTTAGGAAAACCTAGCAGTGTCCACTGCTGCTTATAAAATTCATGCCCCTACTTTCGGATTTTCTTTTTCTGACTTAACTACAGTAATTAAAACCCTGTCTCAACAGAAAGGAGAACGTTTGTTCTCTGAACTTCTGAAATTGGTTGCCATCCAAAGAATAGCATCTTAATTCCTGGAACTGGCAAAACATTCATTGATTTTTACCAGTATCAATGTTTGGTTTGGATTGTCTGCCTTAAATCTACCTATGAAATCATGTCAAACCCAGCCCCTCTCATTATACCATTCTTAATACTAGACCAGCTAGCTTGTGCTTGTTAATATCTACTCTTTCTTTAAACATATGCAGTCAGATTACATTGTCCCCCTTTGGCGTTACATCCACACCAAAAATCCACAGGTGTATAGTCAAAAAAAGGTTCACTGTGGGGTGGCATGTGAAATATATTGGCATGAAGAAACACCCTTTTTTAACTGGGTTGGTCATATGATTGGTATTTGGCAGAGACTCATAGCATGACTCAGTGAAATCTTTTAACGGTGAAGCTTCTCATATAGTAAACATTCCCAAGCACTAGACTGTATAGTTTTATTTCACTGAAGTAAAATCCAATTATATTAAATTATAATGTGGAAACATTCCCTACATTAATTTAATGGATGCAGCTCTTTAAGTTCTCACTATCTGTTCCACCCTTTAATTACAAAAACAAAAAAGTACAATTCACAATCCCGTCATAA